ACCCCAGGATCCCAGTGGCCTTCTTGGCCACAAGGGCGTATTGCTGGCTCATGGTCAACTTGGCGTCCACCAGGACTCCCAGGTCCTTCTCTGCAGAGCTGCTTTCCAGCAGGCCAGCCTCAAGCCTGTATTGGTGCCTGGGGTTATTCCTCCCTAGGTGCAGGACCCTGCACTTGCCTGTGTTGAGCTTCATGACGTTCCTCTTTGCTTATCTCTCCAGCCTGTCGAGGTCCCTCTGAATGGCAGTGTAGCCCTCTGGGGTATCATCTACTCCTCCCATTTTTGTATTATCAGCAAACTTGCTGAGGAGGCACTCTATCCCTTCATCCAGGTCATTGATGAATAAGTTGGACAAGACTGGACCCAGTACTGACTCCTGGGGGACACCGCTAGCTCCAGGCCTCCAGCTAGACTTTGTGCCACTGATAATCCTCTGAGCTCTGCTATTCAGGCAGTTCTCAGTCCACCTCACTGGCCACTCATCCAGCCCACACTTCCTGAGCTTGCCTGTGAGGATGTGATGGGAGACAGTGTCAGAAGCCTTGCTGAAGTCCAGGTAGGCAACATCCACTGCTCTCCTTGTGTATCCAGCCAGTTGCCCCATCATAGAAGGCTATCAGGTTGGTTAAGCATGATTTCCCTTTGTGAATCCATGCTGACTACTCCTGATCACCTTCGTATCCTTCACATGCATGGAGATGGCCTCCAGGATGAGCTGTTTCATTACCTTTCCAGGGATGGAGGTGAGGCTGACAGTCCTGTAGTTCCCTGGGTCCTCTTTCTTGTCCTTTTTGAAGGCTGGACTTTTCTCCAGTCCTCAGGCACCTCTCCTGATCTCCAGGACCTTTCAAAGATGATCAAGAGTGGCCTAGCAATGACATCTGCCAGCTCCCTCAGCATTCCTTGGTGCATCCCATCAGGGACCATGGACTTGTGGGTGTCAGGTTTGCTTAAATGATCTCTAACCCGATCCTCCTGAACCAAGGGAAAGTCTTCCTTTCTCCGGACTTTCTCCTTGGTCTTCAGGGTCTGGGAATTCCTGAGGGCTGGCTTTAGCAGTAAAGACTGAGACAAAGAGGGCCTTCAGTATCTCTGCCTTCTCTGTATCCTTTGTCACCAAGGCCCCTGCCCTGTTCAGCAGCGGGCCCACATTCCCTTTCTTCTTCCTTTTGTGGCTGATATATTTAAAGAAGCCTTCTTGCTGTCCTTGACACGCCTTGCCAGATCAAACTCCAAATGGGCCTTGGAGCCCATTCTTCCTAGTCCCATCCCTGCCTGCTTGAATGACATCCTTGTATTCATCCCAAGTGGCCTTTCTGTGCTTCCACCTTCTGTACGCTTCCTTCTTCTGTTTGAGTTTTGCCAGGTGTTTCTTGTTGATCCATGCAGCTCTCCTGCCCCCTTTACTCGACCATTTCTGTACTGATTGATGAACATGGCTACCTGTGAATGGTATAGCTGGTCAAATACACCTTTCAGCTGGAACTGCAATATTCTTTAAAAAACGATATGATTTTGATGAAGCAAGTCACTATGGAGGTTTATTCCCAGGCTTGTTCCAGTGTTGGAGAGCTCAGGATTTCTGTGTTCTATCTGTGCAGGAAAGCCTGGAGGAAAGTCTAGGACTTACTCCTTTCATGGGCGCATTCAGTGTGTGGTTTTTCTTTAACGTTTTCGTAACCTGGAAGTACCCCTTTCTAGTGTGATTGATTAGTTCATGAAGTTCAACAAAGGCAAGTGCAAGGTCCTGCACCTAGGCAGGAATTATCCCATGCACCAGTACAGGCTGGGGGTTGACCTGTTGGAAAGTAGCTCTGCCGAGAAGGACCTGGGAGTGCTGGTGGACAACAAGTTAAACATGAGCCAGCAGTGTGCCCTTGTGGCCTAAGAAGGCCAATGGTCTGCTGGGGTGCATTAGGCAGAGTGTTGCCAGCAGGTCGAGGGAGGTGATCCTGCCCCTCTATTCAGCCCTGGTGAGGCCTCACCTGGAGTACTGTGTCCAGTTCTGGGCTCCCCAGTACAAGAGAGACATGGCACTCCTGGAGAGAGTCCAGCGGAGGGCTACCAAGATGATTAGAGGGCTGGAGCACCTCTCCTAGGAAGAAAGACTGCAAGAGCTGGGCCTGTTCAGCCTGGAGAAGAGAAGATTGAGAGGGGATCTCATCAACGTGTACAAGTATCTGAA